AATCGCGAATAAGCCAGGATTCGTGAACCGCACGAAGCACATTGCACTTCGATACTTTTTCGTCAAGGACGAAATCGACCAAGGCAAAGTGGACCTCACTTACTGCCCGACCACTGAGATGGCAGCAGACTTCCACACCAAGCGCCTGCCACATCAGCAGTACAAACACTGCTCTGACCTTACCGGAGTGTCAGAACATATAGCTTACTTGTTTCTGTAGGCTATAGTGGGGTATCCCATAGGGGGTACAACCCAATTAGGGTTTCATATTTGTACTCACTTCATTTCATAGTGCACCCATTTTCGTTCACACTTTCTCATGGAATCAGAGCAGGTCCCTTCTTAGGGCCTGTTCCTAGGGCCCACCGAAGCGCGCCCCGAGGCGCGCATTTTTTTTCGCGACCCTCCGTGTCGCCCTCCCCGTCGTGCTCCCGCTTAGGCCCCTCGTCGGCCCCGCCTAGGCCCCTCGTCGGCCCCGCGTAGCCCTCGTCGGCCCCACTTAGGCCCCACGTCGGCCCCACCTAGACCCCGTCGGCTCCTCGTCGGCCCCGCCTAGGCCCCACGTCGGCCCCGCGTAACCCCCCGTCGGCCCCGCTTAGGCCCCACGTCGGCCCCGCGTAGCCCCGCTTAGGCCCGTCGGCCCCGCTTCGGCCCCGCGTTGGCCCCGCGTCGGCCCCGCCTAGACCCCGTCGGCCCCGCGTTGGCCCTGCTTAGGCCCCGTCGGCCCCGCGTTGGCCCCGCTTAAGTCCCGCCGGCCCGCCTAGGCCCCACTTCGGCCCCTCGTCGGCCCCGCCCAGACCTCGTCGGCCCCGCCACGGCCCTACGCCGGCCCCGCTTCAGCTGCTGTCGGCCCCGCTACAGCCCGCCACTGGCCTCGCTACACCCCGCCACTGGCCCCGCTACAGCCTGCCACCGGCCCCACTACAGCCCGCCGTTGGCCCCGCTACAGCCCGCCGCCGGCCCAGCTACAGCCTGCCGCCGGCCCAGCTACAACCCGCCCCCGGCCCAGCTACAGCCCGCCGCCGGCACAGCTACAGCCCGCCGCCGGCCCAGCTCCAGCCCGCCGCCGGCCCCGCTACAGCCCGCCACCGGCCCCTGCTACAGCCCGCCGCCGGCCCAGCTACAGCCCGCCCCGGCCCCGCTACAGCCCGCCACCGGCCCCTGCTACAGCCCGCCGCCGGCCCAGCTACAGCCCGCCCCGGCCCCGCTACAGCCCGCCGTCGGCCCGCCGTCGGCCCCGCTACAGCCCTCCCCGCGGCCCCTGCAGCAGCCCGCCGTGCTGCACGTGAGCAGCCCCAGCAGCCCGCGCCGCCCGTGAGCCCCTACGCCACCCGAGCCGCGCGAGCCGCCCGAGCCGCCCGAGCCGCCCGAGCCGCCCGAGCCGCCCGAGCCGCCCGAGCCGCCCGAGCCGCCCGAGCCGCCTGAGGAGCCGTGCTGCTGTTCCTGAGCTGTGTTCCTCTGCTGCTGACCTACCCGACTCTCCCAGCCCGGTGAGACTTTCAGCTGCTGCCATGGCCACCCCAAATGTTCTTACTTTTGACGCTGAGGGGAGGGCCATTGACTTTGCCGTCTGGATTGAAGACCTGCAGCTGTACTTACTGTGTGATGCGATAGATGAGGTCTCTCTCTTTGACTTTGTCTCTGGCGCTGTCCCTGCCCCACCTGCTGATGCTGACTCTGCCGTTCGCTCCAAGTGGGCGACCCGCGATGCTGCTGCACGTCTTGCTGTGCGTCGCCACCTCCCTTCCTCTGAGCGTGCCCACTTTAGTCAGTGCAAGACCGCTCAGGCCTTGTACGACGCTGTAGTTGCACGCTACTCCTCCCCTTCCTCCGCTACCCTTAGCCGCCTCATGCTACCGTTTCTCTTCCCTGACCTCGCTTCCTTTCCCACTGTCGCTGACCTCGTTACCCACCTCCGTGCTAGTGACACCCGCTACCGCGCTGCCCTTCTTGCTGAGTTCCGCGTTGCGAACCCTCCTCCCATGTACATCACTCTCTACTTTCTCGTCACCCGTCTCCCTGAGTCCCTTCGTGTCGTTAGGGACCAGTTTCTCTCTGTCTGTCCCACCACTCTCACTGTCGACCTCCTTGAGGAGTCCCTGCTAGCGGCTGAGAAGAGTATTGTCGCTGTAGGGGCCTCTCGGGGTGACCCTCGCACCCCCATCTTTGAGGGGTGTGGTCCTTCCCCCCTGCTGCCCTCTGTCGCCTCTGCCGCTGCGGCCGACCTCACTGGTTTTGAGTCGGTCGGCGCGGCGTCTGCCCCCAGCGGCAGACGCCGCTCTGGCAAGGGCAAAGGGGGCAAGGGAGCGGGTGGAGCTAGAGGGGGCGGTGGAGGAGGCGGTGGGGGTGGCGGGGGGAGTGGGGGTGGCGGTGGGGGTGGTGGCGGGAGTGGAGGTACTGGTGGCGGCGGTGGAGGCGCAGGTGGCGGCGGAGGTGGTAGCGGAGGAGGCGGTGGGAGCGGTGGGAGCGACGGTCATGGTGGGGGAGGTGGCGGTGGAGACGGGGGTGGCGGTGGAGGCGGGGGTGGCGGTGGAGGCGGGGGTCGGAGTGGCTCGTCCCAGCGGAGCAGCTCTGGGGGTGGTCAGCGCCAGCAGCAGCAGCAGCAGCAGCAGCCGCAGCAGCAGCCACAGCAGCAGCAGCGCTCTCGCACCGTCCCCGGCCCTCAGCAGCTCCGTGAGTGGTACTTGCAGCGTCAGCGTGGTGGTGCGCTTGGTCCCTGCCCCTACGTTCTTCGCACCGGTGACCGTGCAGGGGAGAGGTGTGGAGGCGCCCACACAGCCCGCCGCTGCTTTGGCCGCCTGACCGACGCCTGGCGTCAGCAGTTTCCGGAGGCCGCTGAGATCCCCCGCTGGGGAGAGCTGTCTAGGGCTGGTGTAGCTATTTATGATCTTGATTTTGATGCTATTCTCTCTGCTATGTATGCTGTGACTGGTAGTGATGAGGATGACTGTTACCGGTGTTTCCCGCCCGACCCGGGCATTGGTACTGCCGCGTCAGGTACTAGTGAGGCTGCTGCTCTAGGTGCCAGTGCGTCTGTGCTCTCAGGTGCTGGTGAGTCTGCCCTCTCACGTACTGTGTCGGCTTCGGCCTCTCACACCTTCACCCTTGACTCTGGAGCGTCTCGCTCCTTCTTTAGGGACCGCACCACTCTCACGCCGCTGAGTCGGCCGGTTGCGGTGTCCCTGGCTGACCCCTCTGGGGGGCCTGTCCTGTCTCGCTTCTCCACTGTCCTCCCGTGTCCGGCGGCCCCCTCTGGCACCCTGACTGGTCTCTACCTCCCCTCGTTCTCGACGAACTTGGTGAGTGGTGCTGACCTCCAGGATGCGGGTGTCCACCAGTTCACCCCTGCTCGTCAGCGGGTGACCCACTGCACGGAGGCGGATACAGGTCGCCACCTGGCTACGTTTACACGTCGGCCAGGGTTGAGCCTGTACACACTGACCCCTGCTTCTCCTCCAGGTGCTACGTCTGGTAGGGTCCCTTCGTCTTGTAAGGTGTTTGCTGCAGCGTCCAGGTCTGGTCCTGAGTCTGCCCCCTGCTCGTGTCGTCGTCTGTCTCACGAGACCCTCCTCTGGCACCACCGCCTTGGCCACCCCTCTCTGCTTCGGCTCAGAGGCATGGCCTCGCGAGTCCTTGTGTCTGGTCTTCCCCGGTCTCTCCCTCCCCTTCCTCCGGGCCCTGGCCCTACCTGTGTCCCCTGTGTCGAGGGGCGCCAGCGTGCTGCCCCTCACTCCTCCCAGTTTCCTCCGACAGAGGCCCCGTTGCAGACGCTTCACATGGACGTGTGGGGCCCAGCCCGCGTCCGTGGACAGGGTCAGGAGCGCTACTTCCTGCTGGTGGTTGACGAATACTCGCGTTACACCACAGTCTTCCCCTTGCGCAGCAAGGGTGAGGTCACTGAGGTGTTGATCGACTGGATCCGCGCAGCTCGTCTCCAGCTTCGGAGGAGCTTTGGCTCTGACTTCCCTGTTTTGCGTCTGCACTCGGACAGAGGCGGAGAGTTCTCCTCTGGCCTCCTGAGTGCCTACTGTCGTGCGCGAGGCATCCGTCAGACCTTCACGCTTCCGGACTCACCACAGCAGAATGGGATTGCTGAGCGCCGCATTGGCATGGTCATGGACGTCGCTCGTACGTCCATGATGCATGTGGCTGCTCCCCATTTTCTGTGGCCGTTTGCGGTCAGGTACGCTGCGCACCAGATCAACCTCCACCCCAGGGTCTCTCGACCGGAGACCTCCCCAGCCCTGCTGTGGACGGGGAAGGTTGGCGATGCGTCGGCGTTCCGGGTCTGGGGATCTCGGGCGTTTGTTCGCGACCTGTCTGCGGACAAGCTGTCCCCTCGTGCTTCTCCCTGCGTCTTCCTGGGGTTCCCCCCCGACGCCCCTGGGTGGCACTTTTACCACCCCACCTCTCGACGTGTTCTGTCCTCCCAGGACGTCACGTTCGACGAGTCGGTACCCTACTACCGTCTCTTCCCCTACCGCACTCCGTCCCTTCCCCCACCCCCGCTCTTCTTGGTACCAGGTCCCCCCCCGGTAGTCCCCCTCACCCCTCAGGGTCCTGCCCCTTCAGGTGTGTCCCAGGTAGACGCGGTCGAGCCTGTCGAGGTCACTGGTGACTCTGGTGCTGCTGCGGGAGCTGAGCTTGGGGGTGCGGAGTCTAGGGGTGCTGAGCCTGGGGGTGCTGAGCCTGGGGGTGCTGTGCCTGGGGGTGCTGAGCCTGGAGGTGCCGAGCCTGGGGGTGCTGTGCCTGGGGGTGCTGTGCCTAGGGGTGCTGAGCCTGGGGGTGCTGCGCCTGGGGGTGCTGAGCCAAGAGGTGCCGAGCCTGGGGGTGCTGAGCCTGGGGGTGCTGTGCCTGGGGGTGCTTCGTCTCGCCGGGAGCCACTCTCCCCACAGGAGCTGCGTGAGTGGTTTGCCAGGCGCTGGAGGCGTGCTGCTGGTGCTGGTGGTTCTTCGGCTGCAGAGGGTACTGCTGCCGCGCGTCCCGCCGGTGCTCGTACTATGGGTGCTGGAGCTGCTGAGTCTGAGAGTTCTCCTGGAGCTGTAACTGCTGAGGGTGTTGGCGCTGAGCCTGCCGTTGGCGGTCCGACTGACAGTGCTTCTGGTGGTGCTGCTGGAGGTGCTGCTGGAGTGGGTGCTCCTGCCGGGGCTGCTGGTGCTGGTCCTGCTGTTTCTAGCGTCGCCGCGCGGCCCCGACCGTACTTCATTCCGCTCCTGCAGCAGGTTCTTCGTCTTACACCTCCTCCTCCTCCCTTAGAGGGTCCGCAGCCTGTCCTGTCACAGCCACAGCTACAGCCTGCCTCCCCTTTGCCTGCTCCTTCTCCCTACACTGGTCCGACTGGAGGTCTTACTGAGCGTCGTGAGCCTGCGTCTCGTCCTGTGTTGCCTGTTCGTACTGAGCGCGCTAGTGGTCGCGGGTCGCGTCAGCGTCCTCCTCCTGTCCCAGGCACGCACCGGATGTCACTGCGTCCGTCCACTGCTCCTCTGCGTGCCCCTTTGCCTTCTCCTCCTGCTTCCTCTCTTCCTGCTCTTGCCGACCCGGAGTCGGACTCTCTTCGTGCTGCCAGCCCTACTGTCACGCGTCTCCTTGCTACTGCTGTCACTGACCCTTCCTTCGAGTCGTCTGCTGCGTCTGCCCTTGTCACTGAGCTTGTCGACTTTGCTGCGAACTGTCGTCTAGACTACGCTGCTCGTCTATTCACTGAGTCTGAGTCCGCCTGTCCTCCGTCCGTCGGGGGTGAGTGTGCCCTTGGCACGGACGTCCTTGAGGACAGGCAGGAGGAGTTCCAGTGTCTGGCCGCCGCTTCACCTCGTCTCGCGTCTGTACTGCTAGCCCCTGAGGGAGACCCGGATGCACCAGACATCCCGACTCCGCGCTCTTACGCGGAGGCGATAGAGGGTCCCTACTCCTCTCAGTGGCAGGCAGCTATGGATGCAGAGATGGCTTCCTGGAAGTCCACAGGCACCTACGTTGACGCTGTTCCCCCTCCTGGGGCGAACATCGTCAGTGGCATGTGGATTTTCAGGGTGAAGCGGCCGCCGGGTTCTCCGCCTGTCTTCAAGGCGCGTTACGTGGCTCGTGGCTTCAGTCAGCGGCAGGGGGTGGATTACTTTCAGACCTTCTCCCCCACCCCGAAGATGACCACTCTTCGGGTTCTGCTGCACGTTGCTGCTCACCGTGACTACGAGCTGCACTCTCTCGACTTCAGCACAACTTTCTTGCAGGGCAGCCTGCACGAGGAGATCTGGCTGCGTCGCCCACCTGGCTTCACTGGGTCTTTCCCTCCTGGCACCCAGTGGAGTCTTCGGCGTCCAGTCTACGGTCTCCGCCAGGCGCCACGTGAGTGGCACGACACACTGAGGACTACGCTCGCGGCACTTGGGTTTGCTCCTTCTACTGCCGACCCGTCGCTGTTTCTGCGCACCGACACCTCTCTGCCGCCGTTCTACATCCTCGTGTACGTCGACGACTTGGTCTTTGCCACAGCTGACACTGCTGGACTCGCCTACGTGAAGTCCGAGCTGCAGAAGAGACACACGTGCACTGACCTGGGTGAACTGCGCAGCTACCTTGGCTTGCAGATCACCCGGGACAGAGCACGCCGCACCATTACCCTGACTCAGTCACACATGGTGCAGCAGGTCCTTCAGCACTTCGGCTTCACGTACTCCTCGCCTCAGGCCACTCCTCTGCCTACTCGCCACTCGCTCTCAGCTCTGCCTTCGGATGAGTCCGTAGAGTCGAGTGGCCCGTTTGCAGAGCTTGTTGGCTGCCTCATGTACCTGATAACTTGCACACGACCTGACCTCGCATACCCTCTTAGCATTCTCGCACGCTTTGTTGCTCCTGGGAGACACCGACCAGAGCACATGGCTGCAGCGAAGAGGGTGTTGCGCTACTTGTGCAGTACGTCGGGCATGGGGCTAGTGCTTGGAGGGCGCAGTCCAGTGGTCCTCACTGGGCACGCAGACGCTTCTTGGGCTGACGACCAGGCTACGCAGCGGTCGTCACAGGGTTACACCTTCAGCCTTGGTTCCGGCTCTGTCTCGTGGCGGGCTACCCGCTCGTCTTCTGTTCTCGGCTCCAGTTGTGAGGCTGAGATCTACGCTGGGGCTATGGCTGCACAGGAGTTACGCTGGCTCACCTACCTGCTGACCGACCTTGGAGAGCAGCCTCGTTCTCCTCCAGTCCTGTACGTAGACAACAAGGCCATGCTGGCCTTGTGTCGAGAGCAGCGACTGGAGCACAGAACGAAGCATATTGCTCTCCGCTACTTCCTTGCTCGTGAGCTACAGCAGCGTGGACAGTTGCGACTTGCGTACGTGGCCTCTGAGGCCAACACTGCTGATGTCTTCACCAAGGCACTTGCGCCTTGTGATCATCAGCGTTGTTGCACGCAGTTAGGTCTTGTGCCTGTCTTGCCTCACTTGCTCTCCTCTTGACCTTGCTTGTACCTTCGCCTATATATACTCTTGCTCTTGCTTGCTTGACTCTTGTATATCTCTATATATGATCTTGCATGTGAACTGGCCTTCTGGCCTTTGAACTTGTGCTCGGAATGCGTGGTGACTTTGTGATCCACCCTGAGCTTTTTTTTTTTTTTCTTTGCTTTACTTGACTGGTCTTGTGACCCCTTGTTCTCCCCCACTTTGCCTATGGGGGTGTGTCAGAACATATAGCTTACTTGTTTCTGTAGGCTATAGTGGGGTATCCCATAGGGGGTACAACCCAATTAGGGTTTCATATTTGTACTCACTTCATTTCATAGTGCACCCATTCTCGTTCACACTTTCTCACGGAGTAGTCAAGCGAGTCAGCTCCACCCGCACCCAGGAATGAAGGGGAGTGTTACGATGCGAAGTTTTTATGAGAAGGCATTCTTGTACGCTGCAGGAGCCGACTCTACCGAGTACGAAGCTGAGGAGTCAGAAGAGCCGAAGCAACGCACTAACCGTCGGATCAAGACCGATGCAGGCAGAAACACTTACAGTGAAAAGAGCGGGAACGGTTTTTGAACGGGTTTCCCGCGCCGCACGGTTTCTGAAATCAGTTGTAATAAGGGAATGTACCCCTTAGAGTACATGGCTAGCTAGGTCCTTTCGTATTCCCTTGTACTCTTATATAAACTCGATGTATGCATGTTATTATCAACTCAGTCATTTTACATTCACTCTGACCTGAGATTCAAACTTCCGCTGCAACTACTCCTGCGATTAACCCTGAGCGATCCTTTGCTAAGTCCCACTTGGGATTGTAACAAGACAGTGTTGAATAGTAGACAGGGGTTGTCTATTATACGGGTGTCTCTTATAAACAGGCTAGCCTTTTTATACGACACCTATTTGTGTGTACGAGATAAGACATATGTGTCTTATAATCGAAACTGCATGTATTATAGTGAAAATTGAAATGCCGCGTACATCTTTACCCTTGCGACACGCGAATTCTGCCACGTACTGACTCACTTACTACCAAATTTGCCTCTGCAAGTATTCGGGATGACGTGGCGTCCCGAACAATGGTTGCCGAGGTGGCACCTTTGAACCATCCACACTCTTAATGAGAAACTCTTTTCAAGATGCGTGAAAATATTTCTAAGTTGTTTAAAAAAGTTTCCATTTATAAGACTTATAAGACACCCAAAACCTCCCCAAATACAAGATAACCCAAGCATTTTTTTTAGTGTATGAGATAAGACATATATGTCTTGTATCTGGGCAATGAAGGTAGTAGATGTGGAAGCATCAATGAACCAAATGTGGCAGTGGCAACATGATGGGAGGCATGTCAAACTATATTTGTACCGTATTTGTAGATAGGCTGTAGTGAGTTGCATGTTAGGGGGTATGAGGAGGCACACCATCATTGCTTGGTAGAAGTCTAGTACACTAAGACCTGGCAAATGCTATTGCCACGGCAGTGGAAGCTTGCCCATCCCTGTCTTGATGGGAGCCGGCTTGTCTGCGCTTGGCTCGGTGGCAGGCAGGACCCATTCAGATCAGGAGGGGTAGGCAGCATTGGCAGCCGAGGGGCAGCTAAACATGCAGCTGGGACAACAGTAGATACTAGGGGCCTGCAGGTAGGTGACAGCAGGAGATGCAGGCAGGGTGCAGCTGGATGGAGAAACAAGTGGGGTACGGATCATAAGGTACAGGTAGACCTACTTCATCCACGTCTGACAATGAACATGATAATGTACAGCTCAGGTTCTGTAGAGTTGTCACACATACCAGTATGGCGAAGTGAAAAGTGCCACATAAAGCCACTCAATCATTCTCAGGTGATGATTGTGTAAACTCCTGAGCATCTGATCTCGCGAAGCCCAGTATACTATAAAGGAACGCAATGCCTGAGATAGTCCAACCCAGCGAGGTGGGATGCCTTCATTGCCTCAAAAACTGGTGTGGGACCGTGAAAATATTCATTGCAGAGGCACAGCATTGCGACAACCGAGCTAGGTACATCTGATCCGACCATCTAACACAACGGCATCTACGCATTCTACTGCTAATAATTCCAGCAAATATTGCACACCTAACCCTCGAGGCCAACTCACAGCACATATAGACAATACCTAGAACAAGGTCATGTCCGTCTACGGGTTAGTAGGCAGGGCTCGAAGAGAGATACTGCATTCTTCGAGGCCCGAGAGCCTAAAGCCCAGCGCTTGCGGCGATTGCGGTGCGGAGCTAGTAGCTCTTGCAGCAGACGAAGACGCCGTTCTTCTGGCAGCAGCCGCCCTTCTTGCAGCACTTGTCGCCACCGCAGCACGGGTACTCGGGGCTCTGCACGCACGCGCGGGTGTTGGGATGGGAGGGAACGGGCGCAGGTGAAAAGGTTAGCACGAGCGCCGCGCATCGTGTATGGCCAGAGCGGCACGACGAACTCAGACTCGAAGGAGAGCACGAAGGGTATGGGGATGGGGAGTGGGAAAGCAGGGATTTGGGACACGCCGACCGATAGTTGAATCACGCAGAAAACACTACCAGGCAATCGAGGGAAAGAAACAAAGGCCGAGAGACTAAGGGACGTGAGATCTAGTGGGCTCGTTTCGGTGAGACTTACAATGCAGCACGCGCCACCACAGTACTCATTCTTAGGCGACGGGCCGGACTTGCCGGCATAGGGGCAGTACCCCGAGCCGTCGCCGGCCGCGTTACGGCGCTTCTTGTGCTTGGGCTTGTACGCGCCTCCCGAGCCGGCCAGGATGCGATGTTCTGCGACGTCGCTAGCGTCGTCAGCGCCCTCGAGGAAGTCGTCGTGGGCGATCGCAGACTCGACATCGGACGCGGCGGAGCGCGCCGGCAGCACATGCATAACGAGGGCCGCCGCGAGGAGGGCGAGGAGGGATAAACGGAGAGTGTTCATCTTGATGGGTATGGCTGGCGCAATAGACTCTAATCTGCAAAGTTGGGGAAAAACGGTGGGTTGAAAGCGAAGGCGAAGCGTGGACGTTGTTGGATGAAGCTAATTGTTAAGCTTGGTTGGTGGCTGCGGGATGAATCAATGCTGACAGCAACGCGTGCATTTGTACCTCCCGGGTCGAGGCGCAGAGCCGCGTAAGCACCAAGCTAGAGAGAGAGAGCACCGCCTGATTTGAGCTGAACGCGCTTGGCTTGACGGTGAAAAAGCGCCTCGATTGCGCGTGTCGCAAGCGTGGCTGTGGTGCCTGAGCGTATTCGTGCTGCGTGCTGCGTGCTGTGTGCTGCATGCTGCGTGCTGCCTTGCGGTGGTCTTGAAGGGGGGAGTCAAGGGCACAATATTGAGTGTGCTTATGTGGAGCGGAGAGAACCACTAAATTCATCCTGCCGATCACGGGTCGCGGTCGCGGGATGCTGGCTTACGGGGTCTCAGAAACGTGTGCATGTGATGCGACACGTTTTATTGGTGATAATGGATGTAAAATCTACACCGACTGTCGAATGATGCGGTATAAGAAGGAACTGAAAGAATTCACTTTACTTCACTTTGTACAATAGTGTACACCGGGAGTCGGGCCCGATACCAGCCAACCTTGTTCAGTGCATTGTGCGCTTGGTTTTTGCATGACGTTGCATCTATCTCTTGAAAATTTTATCGCAATTCACGATCGTTCGTTCATGTGCACTTGCAATTATTGTAAGTACCGTAATCGTCCGCATAGTATAAATTGTCAAATGTTGTAGCCTATAGTGAGGTTTGTCTTAGGGGGTACAGAAGTTAGGGTTTGTTATATGTACCCCAACCAACATCAATGGCATCATCCATTCCTCATTCTGACATGGTATCAGCTAGGTTAGGATCCTGTGGGATCCCGTTCCTCCGTTCTCCGTTCGTACCTCCCGAGCCTGACCCTACCTCTCGTTTGTACCAGTTCCGTTGTTACCGCGCCTAGTACCGAGACTAGCGCCCTTTCCCCCCGTCGCTTAGCGCCCTTTCTCCCAGTTACCTAGCGCCCCTCCCCCCCCCCCCCCCCCCCCCGTCGCGTCGCCCTGTCCCGTCGCGTCGCGCCCTTTCCCCCCGTCGCGTAGCGCCCTTTCCCCCCGTCGCGTCGCGCCCGTTCCCCCCGTCGCGTCGTGCCCGCCCGTTCCCCCCCATCCCGTCGCCCTGTCCCGTCGCGTCGCCCTGCCCCGTCGCGTCGCCCTGCCCCGTCCCGTCGCCCTGTCCCGTCCCATCGCCCTGCCCCGTCGCGTCGCCCTGCCCCGTCGCGTCGCTCCCGCCCTTTCTCCCGTCCCGTCGCCCTGCCCTACGCCCTAGCCCGTCGGCCTACTCTAAGCCCTGGCCCGTCGCCCTACCCTAAGCCCTGCCCCGTCGCCCTTCCCTCCGCCCTGGCCCGTCGCCCTTCCCTACGCCCTGGCCCGTCGCCCTACCCTAAGCCCTGGCCCGTTGCCCTACCCTACGCCCTGGCCGGTTGCCCTACCCTACGCCCTGGCCCGTCGCCCTAGCCCGCTCTTCCGCTGCGACTGAGTCCTCTTCCTCCCGGTTGTTACTCGCCTGTTCGTTTGCGTTAGTTCTCACTATGGCGACTCCGCGAGTTCTTCGTTTCGACGCTGACGGTAGACCCCTTGACTTTTCCGTCTGGCTCCTTCGCGCTTGCCGTCTGTTAGAGAGTCAGGTCCAGGGGGGCGAGACCCTCTGGTCGCACGCTACTGGTGACCTCCCCGAGCCCCCCGAGCCTACAGCTTTAGGCCCTGCCCCTGACAACACTACTACGGCTCGCTTTGCCCGTCAGCGCGCTGACCGGACGGCTTGGACATCGCGTGACGCTGCGGCCTGCATCGCACTCAGCAGCCTCCTCCCTGAGTCCGAGGAGGTCCACTTTACTCAGGTTTGCACCGCTGCTGAGTACCTCACCGCGATTAAGGCCCGCTACTCTACTCCCGCTACTGTCTCTCTTGGCCGTCTTTTCCTCCCGTTCCTGTTTCCTGATCTCGCCTCGTTTGAGCGCTCTGCTGACTTGATC